AGGACTGTGGTCAGACCCGGCGCGATATCAGGCGCAGACTCCGTCTCGTTCTTCTCGTTCGTCGCTTTCAATTAAAATCACGGTTTACAGTTATTGGTAGACGCGATCGTAGGATAACGAGACAGACCACGAACGTCGGTTTCTTTCGCATCGTTAATAATCCTCCACGTCGTTTAGGAAATGGATTGCTATTTCGTATGTAGAAAGTATTGGATTGTACAGGCGAACGAGTATGCCACTGACGTCGATACTTGCCCGAAGAATATGGAACGAGACTATATCGCGATCGCTTTTATTCGCCTGGTAGCTCGGACAGCTGTTGTCGTAACAGAGAGGAATTAGGATAACGCGGATCTACCTTGAAAAGCTAGGCCTTGAAAGCATGGAAATATATTTCAATGTATCTTACTCGCTCACAGAGACATGAAAATCGAGCATCGTTGCTGCGAAGGTGCGCTTTAATGCTGACTGGTTTTTCGTGTCAAGGTGCCAGAATTATCCGGATTGGTCGCGTGCGAGTAAAACTGACAAAAGCTGATACGCGACACGCCTGCTTTACGCCACAAGACAACGAACATTCGATCGAACGAGAGGAGGAAACAGCTGCCTCGACTACGAAAAATTGCGCTTGTTAGAGTTTCAAAGATCCTATCGTTCGTTTGCGATCGAACGTTCTCATACCGGGCCTTCTTCCAGAACGGTATAGTCCTCGATTTTTCGTACAATCGTATCGTACTTATTAGTTCTAATGATTACAATTCTTGGTAACGCTGTTCTCTCGTATAAATACCGGTCTGTCGTATCGTTCGGCAAATATAATCGATCTCGCGTTCGATAAAAGCGGTCAACTTACGTAACGCGGCATCCATTCATCGGTGGTAATCGTTGATTAAGGAGCGCGTTTATCATCGTCGCGGTGATCGCTAGATTCGTGAGTTTTCCGGTCGAGTTCGTTCAACCAGGAATCGAGGATGCGAGGTTTGATTTTTAATTGACAAAATCGAAACGTTTTGTGGAACGACGATCCGTGAGAGGCGGTGACTACGTTGCTCTTGCCGCGGAGAGAACCGGCTTTGGGATAAACGATTTCACTCTCCATCGTGAATAAAATTTATTCGACCGTAAACTGCTATTTGCCACGTTTTATCGACACATTGTGTAAGCCTGCCGCGACAAATAAACCGGCGTTACAGCCCCAGAACGCTAACGGTGCGAGGCTTCTGCTCGCGGAGTCGTACCGCTTTTTTCTTGCTTCGGCGTTAGTTGGACGGTAAAAGGCAAAAACGAGCCACGAGTTAGCGAAATTAACGACATTAATGATAAGGAAAGTGGTAATAAAAGAAGACGTACGCTTTCCATTTGTTTTCGCGGCCTGCAGCCATATTACGCTTATCGGCGGTCGTTCCACGATCCAGAATCCGATTTCGCCATCGTTTCGGAGAAAATTTTGTAACTGGGAATCGACGTGATTCCGAAACCGCAGGAAAGTGATTGCACGGAAAGAAACATTGCCGGAATCGGAAATTGGACTTGTCTTCTCATCCTCCTCTTTCTCCTACGAATTTCTTTCTCGCGAGAGAAAGAGACTCGCGTGTATAATTAGCGCAATTAACGTGTCGTGAAGCCGTTACGCCTCTTTTCTAGTCTTTTTCAACTACAGCAACGATAGCGCGCTGAGAGAACATAACGAGCCCGATACTGAATCGTACAACGGACGTTTTACGATTGCTTCCTACCGCTTCTTAAATTATACCCGCGTCTAGAAATTACACCGCCATCGAAATGGCGAATACTCGAACCATCGAATGGCACGAGATCACAGAAGAGCGTGCGATTAATTAGTCGAATTATTATGAGAAGCCAGGTATAGAAAGGACGAATGCTACTAAAGAAACTAGAACTAACGTTTGCAACGCAATTTACTTAATTCGCCGCTTTATCTTTCGAGTCTTTTTCCAGAAAGTCGCACGATCGTCTCTGCTTGAATGGAAGTTTCACGATCACCGGTTTCTGGTCTGTCTCTCGGTTTCACAGCCGCTGTTCGCATTACTACTTCAAAGTATCGTTCACGAAGACAGATCGTGTATATCGAATAGATCGGTGCAGATCGCGCGGGCATCATCGAAAGTAGATATCGCGCAATATTTACGCGTGCCTCGTAGAACAGTCTGACACACTTTGTTTCGTTTCGAAAGCGATGGTCAAATTTCGCTTTGTCCCAAGGCGACAAATAGTTGCCAAAATCGTCTTTCCCTCGTCTCTGTTCCCGATACTCGATAGACGACTCAACTCTCCTTTCCCTACAGTCGTTAAGAGTTTCGCGTTACAATTGCCGAGAACATTTTCGAAATCGAGAGGAAAGATCGACTCACCAAAGAATAAAAAATAGTTGCAAAAATCATTCGCACGCTCGTGCAAGACCAGCAGCATCACGAGACCACCGCGGGGTACTTTTTATAATACTATTTATCGTTAATAGCACATTATCGGGTACGGGCGACGACGGTTCTCGTTAGCCGTACACGTGATATTCACTTTCGAGAGAATTCTTTGCGAATGGAATTGTCGACCGGCCCGTTGCGATCGACGCATTTAAAAGATATCGCGCCCGATGAAACTTTCGTCACTGTCCAATCACGCGTGCATGCGTGAAAAATGTTTCGCACCACGTGTACATGTAAGTCGTCGTGTTCAACGTTTCACGTTTGCGATTCTGCTTGGAACCTGATCGGGACGCGGTGTACTTTGGGGAAAGAATTGGCTCGATTTTCGTGGCAAATCGACCCGGCCATTAAGCCTATTCCGGCTGTTCGATTACGACCAAGTAGCTCGTTTATTTTTCCGACAGCGTATAGCGGGAGAAAGCAGACCGCGGCTGGACGACGCGCGTTCTCGTGTCGTAACGCGGCGTTCGTTCGAGCTCGCGCGCTCTCGATATTGTTTATCGAAAAAGACTCGGTAAAATATCGGTCGACGTGTCAAACGTAAGCTCGCGAAAGCGCTCGCTGATTACGCAACAGCCAGCCATAGTCGTCGGCGGTTTATGCGCGATCGAGCTGCGATTTGCAACCTATAATTATTGGAACGAGCCTATTTCTTAGTTTCAGAGGGAAGCAAGCGTTCATTCTCCACGCTACTTTCCTCGCTTTCCTCGCATCCGCTCGATCCTGTCAGATTCCCAGAGCTTTCACGTTTTGCTCCTTTACGAGCGGTTTCTCCGTATCTCGATGTACATTTATGCAAGTTGCTTCGTTTGACATCTCATCGACTGATCGACGATCAATAAGATCGCAGAGCGGCTTAGTTTCCGGCCGCGGAACGCTTCCAGACGTTTAAGTTTCCGCGGAGACTCGAAACAGTGATTTCGTGGTGTGGCGAGTAATTAGGCCGGCTAGGCGTGTCGCGAGTCTAACGGGCTCCTCGCGAAATAAATTCACTTTCAAGCGTGTGTAGAATCGGCCACGGAATCCGCCGATCGAAAGTGAACGTGGACGCGTTAGAATGCAATGAGGAGGAAGGAGAGAACGAAAGGGAGACACCAAAGGAAAGAGAAACAGAGAGAGAGAGAGAGAGAGAGAGAGAGAGAGCGGTTGGTCGAGGCACTGTCGAGGTTACGGAAAACCACGAGATTAATCGACAAAGTAGCCGATACGCCGTGAACGGCGGTTCGTTCATTTCCATAGACCGTTGAAAAAAATCGCAGCTAGAATTAGTCGGCGTGTAACTTGATTAACGATTAAAATTACGCCCGCTTGTTTATCGCCGTGATGTTGTAAGACGCGTAACTCGCGGAGAACGTTACGCTACACGCCATATTCTGGTGCAAAATGGAAGTGTACTAATGTTGTATTTCACGATATATATCGTTCGAACGAATCAGACAGAAAATGGAACTGATCGCGAGTCAGAGCGTTCGAATTTCCCAAACAATCTCCATTATCCTCGACTTCTTTTCCTTCGATGGATTGAAATCGCGGAAATGTATAAACGAAAGAGCGTGGAAATATTCCATTTTTTAGAGGTCAACGAGAACCCTTTTTACAATATATATAAAAAAAAAAATACATACTTCAATCGTAGTTACGGCGATGCGTGCGTACATTCGCGTGAGTGCGTTCTTAACACGTGTACCGAGTCTGAATATATTTCCTCGAACGATAGCAGTATGTTGGTGCTCGTTGATGCACCGATCCTCGAGCAGAATAGAAATCCGCGGTTTTATTCGAAACTTATTCGAAACGCACGAAAATACCGAGTTATGAAAATTACAGACTGAAAAACGCTGGAAACAAAAATACGACCGACTCGAAGCAAACGTACCGGTGGTGTTTTTTTCTCCTTTCACCTTATTAAACAACCTCGAGGGAGATGGTGAGCGTAGGAGTCGCGTTCTTTTTTCCACGGAAGAAAAAAAGGAATGGAAAGTCGGGCGGACTGTAAATTCGACGATAGAACCAGTTCGCTTTCGTTGTCATCCGAAGATGTAAAAACGTTTCGGCGAAAGAGGGAGAGGATGGGATGGTCAGCGAAAGTCCTGGCGCCTTTATTTTACTCCTGAAGCTCTCGCGCTCTGCCCGATCGTCCTTTCACGATTTCAAACGTACCGTATCGTTTGTCTCGATTTGATCGATCGACCATGCTTCTCTCGCTGTCTCTCGTAAGATGTCGTGAAATATCGAGTCGATGGATGCCGGGGATGGCGAAACCGACGAAAGACTATTTTCACGCCAACGCGCCGTACAGTTTTCTCTCCTTACGAAAATTTGACCAGGGTATTGCGTGGTCGATCTTTTCTTTCGACTATATCGGGCGAGAAGTTGGTTCAAGTAGTTTCTTTAGCCGCGAGGTACGGTTCAAGTCGTCTGGAACGCTCACGTGGACGGATTGTCGCAAGAAAATGCTGACATTCTGGCCGCGGGCAGAAGCCGACGACTCGTACCGTTTGTGAATAAAACACTGTGATTACCGCTGCTTAAGTAATCCGAATTTAATTTGCCTAGCTCGTCTGGATTCGGTGGAGAAAAGAAGCCAACGTTCGCGAGTACGAACAGCGAAGCGATTGCCACTACTTTCGCCACGTTAATCTCGTAAACTCTCCTATTCTAACAGCGAGAATAACCCGAGAAAAACCTCGATTTCCATCTAAAGGTATTTCCATTGTGGCTCTCTTTTCTTCGAACGACCAATCTGTTTGCCCGGAATAATCGATCGCTCTTATTCAAACTTTTGCAGATTTTCGATCGAGAAACTTGCCGTTTCTAGAAAGCGTGCCACGTTCTTAGAGATAGAAGTTGCTTTGGACAAAAGAAATGCACAGACCTGTCTCTCGGCTCCGTCGATTATTCCTTAATCCCTCATGAAAGCACCGTGCTCACATCGAGGCGCACTCCAAGTATACTTGTCACACCTGTACACCGCGCGACTACTTCTCTGCCAGCGAACGATCTCGAGAAAGCACTGTGTTCGGCAGGGCACGCTCGGCAACTCGAACCCGCTCTAAACGGGGGTGGATCGATGCTCAAATTTTCGGGGGGAATCACCCGGGGAAACACCGCGTTTGCTGGTTGAGGGCAAGACCGCGTCCGGTCCGGCCAGAAGACTGCGCGATGGAAGTGGAAAAGTGAGCAGCAGGAGCGTTGTGCTCCGGCCAGCGTCGTCTGGTCGAGCTTTCTACGACGGAGGATAAGGTCGAAGAGAGAGAGAAGGGGGCTGGACGTACATAGGCGCCTTGGCTGGCCTCGCATTGGCGTAGCTCTGTCAAAAAAACGGTCCCCACCGAGCGAAAGGTTCGCGAGGAGCACCTGCGTCGCCACCTGATAGTCAGCGTCGACACAACTCGAACAGAACCAATGCTATTTACCGTCGAACCTTTCAAACTTGACTCTTGAGCGACGCGTTAGAAGGCCATCCATTTCTATGGACATTGCATCTTGCTTTTACCGCACGGTCTGTTTTTTACTCTTCGTCCTCTTCTTTAGAGCGCGTCCAAACAAAGGACCAAGGTATATCTCGAGCGGAGTTGCAAAGGTCTCGTGGCGCCTTCAGGGGATTCCGACTCGCGCATCCTTGTGATCTTTCGTGAGTAACCGGAGCCAGCTACGTAGCAAACTCCTCGTAATTGTAATTTTTCGAAAGATCGAAGGAACGAAGTGAAAGTGGAACGTCGTCTCCGCCGACGAAGGACACGGAGGAGGACAAATTCGTGGAACCGGCGAGTACATCGCGCCTCTAGAATTCTATTAATCGCTTTCTCGGCCGACGACAACACGCCTAACTCTTTGGAAATAGGAAGTTTGGTTTCCCGCGAGGCTCGCACCGTGATTCTTTCGCAATCGAACGCCGTTAGACGCGAAAAAGCGATCGACTCTCCGAGCGAGCCGACTGGCTTTTCGATAAATCACCTTCAGGGTCAGGCATCGAGCGAATAGAGTTATAGCTACTCGAAGAAAGTATTCTAACCAGCTTCCACTCCTTCGACTAGTCCTTTCTAACTTTAAGGGAATACCAGTGCAATTGACGCGCCTACGTGCCGACCATTTTTGGATTCGTTCGAAGAAGAAATCCGAGATGAGAAGTTTGTTAACCTTCGATGAAAACTGCGATGGCCGTCCAGCTGCGATTTATTCTTGATTCGGCTTCGTTGGCAGGATCGTAAAACAGGATCCCATCGCGATAATCGGAACTCACCCGTGCCCATGAGATGGATCGTTCCATCAAAGTTCACTGCTTTCTCTAAGGACGACAACTCCTTTCTTTTTCGAGATTCAAGGCCTCGATCTCCCTTGTCTTACGTTCTTTTCCTCGAGATAAGGTCGCGTCATTTCGTCGGCCATTTTACAGTCGATGGGTTCGTAAAACTCGACGAAGATTTACATTGTCGGCCACAAGTGTCAGAACACGTGTCGATATTTACAAATCCAATGCCATTCTTTGTTCATATTTTCTAGTTACGTCGCTACAAATCTATTGTACCGTCATATATAATATAAAGGTTATAAAAAGTACTTGCATATCATCGTAATTGCGGTGTTTGAACGTTTGATAGAGATACAAGGGTACGTATAAATACTTTTCGCAGCTAGCCGTATCGCGAGTTTGTGTCCCGATACTTGTTGCCTGCTAATAGAACAGTTCGTTCAATCCAGATCGATATCGTAGATATGACGAATGCCGATGATCTTGATCAGTGTCCGAAGCATGACTTGCCACGACACGCCTGTTGATCTTTGAAAGGGGATCGTCAAGAATTTGAGGACGAGGCGTCGGGTACGCCCGTGATATTTGCGCTCGCGATTCGCTCGAGGAGGAACGTCTCGATGCGTGTTTTTTACGCGCCCGGAATTTTAACTCGCTCGCCGCTCGAAAGTTCCGCACGCAAATTCCTCGTAATCCTGCGCGACGCTTCGATCTTCTAGAGATGTCACGGCATCGTCCCGATGTCGGACGGTGTCGTAATTACGCGCAACGAGCTGGCTACGATACGATTCATGTATTTTTCATTTGATTCGTGTGGTCAACGGCGCATAATCGTAATAACGGTGTTCGACGATGACTTTGGCCTTGACACTCTAAAAACTTGTTCGACAGGTGGAAGTTAGGAGGATTTCGTAAGTGACCGCGTCAAATCTCTATTCGTTTACGTAATGTCCGAGGCATCGATTGAAATTCCTCGCGGTAATTACACGTTGTTCGATCGGAAGAAAAACGAGCCGGCGCGGCGAGGCTTCCGCGCGATTTGGTCGAAGATACGATCGGCATTTCTTTCTAATCGATCTCGAAAGATACGCGAGGGAAGAAGGAGGGGAAGAAGACTCGCGACGCAGCGTGCATGTAAAACGTAAACGGAAAAGCGTAGCGCGGATGGCCAGCGTTTGACAGGAAAAAGGTAGGGAAAGAGCTGGTCGTTCGCGTCGATCACTCGCTCGCTTTCTATTGTTCGATCATGCCAAGAAATCGTTCGATGCGATTTCGAGTTTCGCGATGCACGATCGCGCGTTCTTTCCTCCTCTCCCCGGGATTTTTCTCTCTTAACATAGTTTTACGATAAAAAGGCACGATGACCGGTACGATTAAAGCGCGACCAAGGCACGGTCACGTTCAACACGTAGCAAAAAGTTAATGCATCTGTTGTTCTTTATTGAAGAATCGAATCTGTTATAAGGCGGTTAGAACTATTCGGATGGTTTGTGGGAAGATACAGAGATTTTTCATTGTTCTATGGAAGTGATCAGCACCTGCGATGAAATTCTATCTAGCTAAAAGTTCGATCAGCCTGTAGCGATCGATCGTCGTCGTGCGATTTAGCGTCTGAGAATATTACAGCGTTCTGTTCACGCGTTTCTCTGCCGGCAAGCTAGGAACTCACAACTCGTTGGACGAATCTCGCTTCTATTGAAATACTCTCTTGTCTCGAAGAAACTGTACACAGAAATATACTCTTTGTTAACACGCGTTTAAATGTTCACAGATTTTACAATCAGAGCGTTAGATCTTGTTCCCGTTCACATCTCTGTACAGGTCGTCGTTGATACCGTACAATCTCGGCGAGTCGTTGCAATCAACCTACGATAAAGAAAAAGTTTTAAGCAGACCTCGAACAGAAATGACGAAGATCGATGTACATGGAGAATGCGGTACCTTGAACCACCAATCGCAGACACGGGCCGATTGGCTGAAAACTGTGCCGTTTGGACAGAGGAAGCTGAACTGGCGCCCATTTGGCAAACACCAATGCCAGACCTAATAAAAAATTTCAAAATCGCGTTCATCCTTCTGTGTTTCGATCAGACGGCACGATTTAACGGCGTAAACTTGCCTGACATCTAGCTTCAGGATCGGCATAGTAACCAGGTAACTTGCCCCCGCAGGTAAACGTAAGGCCGAAAGGTACCGAGTCGTAGATCGGATAATCCACGCCAGGTGTATAGCCGTCTACTTGCTGAAACGTCAGTAGAGATTGGTAGGCGAGATGTTTGAAACTGTCGCATCTCGATTAACGTTAATCGTACAGGGACGCGCATACGGTGCAAGCCTGTTGCAACTCGTAACGCGATAACGAAGATTTCAGGGAGTATGCGTGCAACGTATACGTAGAATATGCAGGGTAATCGAATTACGGCTTACGTATTTCAATTCAAATAAGTTGCGCGAATTACATCTTGATTTCTCTTGGAACAAAGACAATTAGCCGAGAAGGAGCAACTATGAAAAGCGTTATTTACATTGCAATTCCCTTGGGTCTGTGACGAAACGTCACCGACAGCTTTCGTCATCTATCATCGCTCACAATGGAATGTGGACCGAACGAGGATGCACGCTATAAGTTGCGCTTCCTTTCGTAGCGCAATTGTTATGCACGATGCATCGAGCGCTTGTTAGGTCATTAACAAAAATTTCTATCCAACCGTTGGATCGCGCAACGAAGATAAAATGCGAAAGGGGTTAAGGAAAAGGCATAGGGTTAATGATCCAAGCAGCCTTTAAACAACGTTCAAATCGCGGCGGATCGCAGGGGAATCTGGTTGCGCGATCTTTTTCGCAATTGGCTATCGGTCAAAACGAGAAGAAAAAAAGAGGCTGTTGCGACACAACGTCGGATCGAGCCAGTCCAGTGCGTGTACGTGCCGATGTTTGACCGGAAGTCGGGTTACATTGTTCCCCGCAAGCGGATGCGCATCTCCGTGCCTTTGTACTCGATCTCCCGTCCACTAACACGCGCGCAACCGCAAGACACTGCCTCCACCCTTTCGACGTGACGGGTGATTTCGACGCCTGGCAAGAAAACACGCCCGTAATCCATGGTGCGGTTACCGCCAGCGAAACTAGGGTAGGTCAGGGTTCTGCTCGACGATCGTCGAACCTTCCCTCGCGAGAAAAGACGTAACCGTTAAATTTGCCTCTCGCTGGATATGCAACGAGGTGTTGAAAAATCCTCTGTATAAACCTGGTAACGGCTGCGAACGGATGCCTACTACGTACGAAATGGACGATCGTAAAATTTTAAAGACGATTTGACCGCAAAAGCTGAATGTCGAAGAATTCTGCGTTACATAATGGCACAATGGCTGGATGGTTTCTTCAAAGGATGAAGAAAGAATTTCTGGAATCGCGTACCGTGAATGTTAACGCGATAACGATCGGCGGATTAATTAATCATTTTCAGTTTTCTGGCCGGTGGCTCGGCGGCATTGAAAATTCGGTCCCCTTGCGTTTCGATCCGCGTTCACGGCCATCGTTTCCGGTGAAAATGAATATGCTTGCGGCTCGGTAGTCGCACGATCGACCATCGATAAACGCGCGAATAAAAGTGCCGTCGATGAACACGCGTAGATCCGCGCTCGAATCACACGGTTTCGTAATTCCGGAATGCCGGATGGTTTTGCCAGGACCCATCTCTGGCGTTGCGCAATCTTATTCGAACGTAACAGACCTGGAAGACGTGGAAATTTTAACGCACGTTTCCGAACCACTTTGTCCAAGGAAGCGCGCGAGAAAACGCGCTCGCGCAACACGACTTAATTAATGAATTACTTCATGCCGCCACTTGGCGAAGATGACGCGAGAAGATACCGTCCTCCCTCTGTCATTGTTGCACGTGAGAAAGTACGGTGAATATAATAATTTCGCACTTTAATTCAGCGCTGCTTTCGTAAAGGCATTGCGTGCACGATACTCCCTGCTGAATATACATATATTATATGCAATTCGAACTACGAATCGAACGGTTTTAGAGGAAAACGCGGCGAATCGTGTCACTTACCGCCATCGCTTGGTACAGCAAAACAGCGCCGAATAGGAGCAGCGCGCACAAAACTTGGTACCGCGAAATCATCTAAAAAATCGGATGAAATCGTCGATTAATAAATTTGAAATAATCAGATGGAAGATCGATTAATTTCATCCAAGTTCTACTCGTTTCCTCGAACTCGAGTATTCTTCTTGATTGTATGTTTTAGAAGACCGGGCATCGAAGCTTTCCAAGTTGTTGGAAGCGGAGGGAAATAAAATCTTACCGTTTCGTAAAAGATCCAATCACCTTAATCCGCAGTGTCCTTCCACGTGGTGTTCATTTATCTTAGGATGAGTTTCGATTTCGGATCTTGGCACAATGCACTCACCGGTCCCGATCCGCTGGACCTCCGCCTGCAAGTTCGGTCTCCACGGTGTTACGGGCAAAGTTTCTTTCTCGAAGGATGCTACCATGAAGTGGTGGTATATATATGGCTTTAGAGATCGAGCAGAAACAAGGGGGGGTTCTTGAGAGCCCCTCTTTTCCGGGGCTCCCACACCGGACGAACGGAGAAAGAGAAGATCCCAAGGAGGTAGGGGAGGGATTCGTTTCTACGATGCCGCAGATTCTTCTCTTACGCAATCCGTCTCGTGTTCTTACACCCGTGAAAACAGTCGTAAGGATCATACTCGAGTCAGGGTTGCAACTTCTTTTACGCGTTTCAGCCATATCTTTCGACGTCTTCGCCGAAAGGGGTTGAAAAGAGGAAATAGGTAAGAACGCGAGTCGATCAGCGATCTTTCGTTCATCAGCCATGAGAGCACGATCGATCCAGCGTTGTCGTTATTTTTGTACCTCGAACACAAAGTGGACGTTGCTCCACGTTTACGCAACGTCTGTGCTTCTACAACCGTGAAAACACGATCTTGTTACAAGGACCAAGGGAAGAACCTGCCGGTTCCTTCGAAATTTCGTTACGTTACTCCCAGACAGTTTTCTCGTGGAATGTTTTCCTCTACCATATCCGATACTTTTCACCGATTCGGTGCGATTGTATAATATTAATTTCATTGTATGCGTTTTCGCATTTTCGCGGGGAAGATGCTCTAGATTATTTCACCGATCCCATCGATCTGATAGCTAGGTTTTTTGTTTTCGTGGGATTCTCTGCAGAATGGAAAATCCTCGTCACGTGTACCAGTGCCGAAATCACTCGGTCTTATCTCGCACAGTGTATCCAAGGTTTAACCACGCTGCCTTCCTCCTGTGTATTATACCCGAAGAAGTTTGTTTTTTAAGCTCTTAAGAAATTTGTCGATTCGAACGATGACAGAACACGATTGGATCGAGAATGACTTAGTGGGAAACATGCAGGTTAATATCTGTCACTGACCATCCTGCGACTTATCGAATTAAAGTATCCGGCTAAGTTACTTGTCATATCGATTTTCCGTTTTTTCTCAACATCCTCCGATAAGGCTAGATACAAGGATTCTTCCATTTCATTTTTTCTGCTACGAAGGAAGATTTCCCAATAAAATTGAAAGTACGCGTTCGTTACCATTTATCAAGTACAGGAGGTTGCAATCAAGCGAGAAAAAAAGAAAAAAAAAAAAGAAAAATATATATATCTCTCAAGGAAATAGGAAGCTCCAAACTACTTCCTTTCTTCCGATCGAGATACCTCGAAGTACGACGTAGCTAAACAGGCGGAAAATAGAAATCTCGCACGATCAAATCGTTCATTTGCATGCCGTAGTCTGTTCCATCCTCTTCTCGGTAGCCCCTTAATTTTCGAGGCGCGTTCAGTGCCAATTAGCGGCGCATAATTGCTGACCGCGAACATTTCGAGATTGACATGCAAATTCCATGGTATTAGATAGCTGATTTTAGCCACGGTTCGCATACTTTACCTTCGAATCGAGTAACAAAATACTGCGTCGTTTTCAAATATATCCTGCAGCGATTTATCAAACGTTCGTGTAGTTTACAAAGTAAAACGGTTGCCACGGCTAATACTAAGACGCCACTTGTGTAACGATCGTGTATTTTAGACGCGAAAGAAGAATGGACAAGAAGAAGAAAGACAAGAGGAGGATAGTTGTCGTTTTGAATTAAATTATTCTTAATTATATATCACGCCGATTACAAAATCCGTGTAACGTTCGTGGGAAGGTCCGCTCGGCTGTTTTACGACTGAAAATAGCAGGCAATCGTATCTCGAGGGAAACGCCAAGCGTCGACGAAGAAGAAAACTTTTGTTTTCCTCTCTTGTTAAGAAACCTGTTATTAAGAATGTTATAGTCGCGTTAAAAAATCTCTTGGTGACTCCCCGATACAAGACTGGTTCTATCGATGCTTCAAACGCGTTATCGCGCAACGTATCTGTTAACGTTGCTGTTTCCAATGCTGTGCAGCGTAAAAGCGCAGGTGTTGTCGCGGTAAGAATGGACGAGACCGTGTGTTTTTTTTTTCAGAAACAGGCGATCAAAAGGGGACCATTTGTTTTAATGGACACTTTCGTCAGACGGTTACTCTATATTCCGAATTTTCACACGCTCGGCAATGTTCAGTCGCTATAAGCCTTCGTAATTTCGTAACGAGTTGACTTCCGAGCATCTTTCCTGTCGCCGTACAAAAGCGACATGAAAGTTTTTTCTCACGTTTCTACCACTGTGTCGACCGATTAAATATTTAATTACGATATTACGGGATTAATTACTAACCAAAGTATGGGGCGGAGTATCGTCAAGTTTGTCGTATTAGCAATCCGATCGTTCTGTTTTTCATCGCCTGTTTCGAGGTGGTGACAAACTAGTAATCGCGCGCAACGATCATCGGTCGATTCTCGACGCGTTTTCGAATCTATCGTTAGAAATCCTTATCGATTTAGTTACGCGTCCGCCGATTGTCTAATTATTTTAATTGATATCTCGATTTTTATCCGCATCTTGGTACCTGTGCATATGCGCACAATCGAAGCTTCGCTATCTTTTTTTACGTAACACTCTGTTGGTAGCGTATGGATTTTATTGTATCCAGAGTTACGTAAGCAATATAACATCAATTATAACGAATGCTAGGAAGCGTCTTTCGACTCGCTTTGCTAGCAACGCAAGCTACGCGTTCGCCAATTTCTTCGCTTTTATCATCGATATCTGTGCTTACGATATCTCTGACACGTAACATCGTTGCTGTATGTTTTACAATACATTCCGGTTGTGCTTGAACGAGACTGGCCGAGGCTGTCCCACATTCGGTAGCGCGACACCTGTTCGTCGGCAAATTAATAGTCACTCGAATCTCATTGTAAAACGAAGGAGCGTAGTAACGGAGAAATGCGAACGTTCACAGCGACGAGAGCGAATCCTTCGATTCGATAAAACAAAGACCGTTGCGATTAGAAATAAAACTGCTATTTTCTTCTATCTTCGTTCGAACAAATAGTCCATTTCTGTCTTATTCGTGACTGTTGGCGCGCGAAGATAGAATCGCCGTTGTTATCTCGCTTACTTGAGATTTATCAAAAGTTTGACGATAACAATAGACGCGTATATACGTACGTGTTCGTGGTGGCATCGAGCTCGTGCTGGCGACTCGTCGCGCGTTTTATCAGTCGACGCGAGTCGGAGCGAGCTGCGGTGTCCCAGATTTTCAGTCGCACGTATACGCGACGGTGCATAGCACGCAGCCGGTTGTCGATCGTTCGCCGATCCTAGATCGGTCCATCCTTAGAACGGTTTCGCGGTTGAACGGGCGCGGATCGATCGATCGGTAGTTGCATCTACGGTTACGTTTCCGGATACTCGGAATCGACAGAGTGGTCCGGCCACAGTCGCGTTCGTATCGAGATCGCGCTCGCGCTTCGAAACACTCATCTTCGGAGCAAGAGTTAATAATTTGGTGAACGTGTGTTTGTCAGTGATGTGGATCGCCGAACGAGTGGCAACTGCCAAGGTAAATAACAGCAAGTATCATTTATCACGCGTATACGTTTTATCCGTACGGCGATGCAAGCTGCATCGTCGAGGCGGTTCCTTCGTAATCTTCGGATGACACTGGTCGTTGCGTCTTATCTCTTTACGAAGGTTTAGTTCGTGTCTCGTGTTTCACGGAGACATCCTCTTCAGAGAAACGATCGCGTATCGAGGATCGTAAGATTTCGTTATCTTCTTTATATATAATGCGTATTTATTAACGATAAAGACGGTGATAGGATCTTTAGAGAAATAAAAATCGCGCCTGAATTTTTCTCCTATATTTCTTCTTTTCTAGTTGCGATAGTTACCGATCTACTTATCTTCTCCTTCCGCGTTTTTGCCGAAGAAAAAGAGCGGTATCGTAGAATGGCGAGACCGTGGGAAAACGTGGGAGGGAACGGCGATGAGTTACGATGTATCGTTTCGTTTCGTTCGGATCGATAACGAGAAATCTGTTCGCTCGCTGTCGTCCGTAATATCGGTTAATTGGGAGATACGTGGCGCGTTGGAAGCGTAATTAAAATAAAGCAACATTGTCGCGATTAAAAAGAGTAAATATAGCCAAGTGTATGGTTTAAATTCCAACAGCGCGAGACGCGCGCCGTTGCAGTTTGTTCGTGACACGGGTATAATAGCTTCCGGTCAGACACTCATCCACCGACGTTTCCGGTATCGTCGTTATCCTCTCGTGAACTCGAAGCGAGAAGGGAACTCCTCTCCTTCCCTGTTTCCCGCGTCGGACAACGGCGTTCCCTCAAATTTCTTTTACGATCGTGTACGTTTCGACGTCGATGTTCAAGAATTTAGTTACTTGCCCGCGGAATTGATAAAGTCCGATATCTCGATGCGTAACGGAAATCTTGGAAAACCGTAATAACGATCAGTGACTATCTGCAGCTTCGTTTCGTTCTCGAACGATACCGTTACTATTAATACTTTACTTCTTGCTTCTCTTTGCATAGATATCTTCGAATCGCACGATAAATGTTTGCGCCTTTATCGAATATTCTCTAGGCTGTCGCGAGAACCAGTTTCTTCGCATTAGCGTCAGACTACGCATGCAGTTTAGAACACCCGGTACGTGAACTGGCGCGTTAACAGTTCTAGCGTTGTACGCGGGTGTAATTGGACGACAGGTGTAGAGGCGCGAGCAACATACAAGGTGCCCGAAAATAAATTTGTCCAGCTTTTGTCGCGCCATACCGGTGTTATGGTATTCTCGACTCGAGTCGGTTAAACTCGCTCGCGTATCGCTCTTTATTTGCTCGTACGAGTTTCCTTCTTCTATTCTATTTATGGAAAGTTCGTTATCGGGTTTCGCGAAAGAGAGAGGAATGTAGCCGGAGTAAAATTTCACGAACGGCTCTCCGACTCGACCTTGGTTCTTGAATTTCTGCGCTCTCGTCCCCGGGAGCGCGGAAACCAGCGCACGTTTTCGAAACGGTAACTGCACACACGGATTCGCGCCGACGCAACGCGGCGTAAGCTCGAACAACAGTAGGCCCACACCTGACCAACGGACGGAATACGTTAACGAATCCCTTTTCACTTGACTATCGGTCACCTGACGCGTTTCCTGCCCGCTCGAAGCCAAGCCCCCCGTACACATTTAGGATTCTCGATAGCATCGTGTTTTACGTGCACCGGCGCATCCGTTTCGTTCGATTAAATCTGTGACCGGGGACAATGACTGGTTTTGTATAAAATAGAGCAGGTGAAACGACTCTTTGTACCTCGAGTATCCTGAGCGACGTGGCACGATACGTTTTCCAAACTTGGACAGAGTTTGGCCTGACTTCTATATTTGCGAGCGAAACGATCGAGAACTGGCCGCGCGGAAAGAGAGCGAAAGCAACGATCGAGCTGGAGCGCAAGGTGCAACACGTGCTGCGCGACAGCTGTTTTCCGGTTTAAGCCGAGACGTTAAGCACGTTTTTAATTTCGCGGTTGAACGCATTTCGGAATACAACGATGACGATAATAACGTCTACGAGGGGTCGGTCGGTTCTCCCTTCTGCTCGTTAGGTCGCTGGAAATTGCTCGAGTGTTTCACTTACCCGGCTCTCCGTACGTCGTATACGTAAAAGTTACGCTTTGCACTTTGTTTGGCATAACGAGATGGTCTCGTTACGATTACGGGGAACGACGACCAGCGTTGATTCAGATGCTCAGCCACCATATTAATCGGCTTCGGAAATTGGAAAGTAGAAAAAAGCGTATCGTTTATTTGCAGTAAAAACTAACCTTGCGAGTAAATTATTTATTTATCGAGAATTTGCATCCAAACAGTAAAACTGAGACGCTTACCGAGAGATTAGGTTTCTGAGAGCCCCGATATTTCGTATTGTTCCCACTAATTGTATTACGTGTGATTAAAGGATCACGGTGACACGAACAAGGCCGATTTGGAGCAAGTGAAAATAGTGTTCTGAGGACAGACAGGATCGAGAACCGCCATGGAAGACGAGGACTTTGGTTTCACGAAGAGATCTGACGGTGTCCTGAAGAACGTTAACGACGAGTTAAACGATTCTAAAGATGCGACGAAAAACGACGAGGGTAGCTATTTGCAGAAGAAGGTCGGATAAATACGTTTGCATGCTCTGTTACGCGTTTAAGTGATCGATAAAGGCCTGGAGCAAAGAATGACCAAAAATTTCGTTAAATTTGTCAGACGGGGGAAACGGTTAGCGGGCATAGATCAGTGATGACAGCGCCGTTATTCGGGGCGACCGAGACCGGAAACGCCGTCCCTCAGCGGCCAGCGACCGCCTCTTCATCCTCTCCGGCTTCCTCAGTCGTTTCCAACCCGCCGAACATACCGAACGTGGTCGAGTATCACCTGAAAGTGAAGCCCGGACAAACACAGAGAATCTGTCCACTCGATAACAGTACCGTGAGTACGCGACGTTTTAAACTTCCTTCTCGACCAAGCTCTTGTTCGATTTATTTTTTTTCTTTTTTCTTTTTTTCTTCTTTTTTTTTTTTTGAGTGTCACAAGGTGACAGAAAATGTCGCTTCGCAATTTACCTTGTAAATTGCGTATAACTTAATTAACCGTTGGTCCCGTTTCGCGTATATCTTGCTTCAACAGGACGACCGTTCTTTTAAACGACAGAAAGGCGCCGAGATATTTCGTAACGCTTGTGTATTAACGTCGTATTTCTTAATACAGAAAGGTCAAGAGCTGAACGATATGAAGAAGGACAAAAGTCTCGCTTCTTCCACCGACAAAAAGAAGGACCTCGTATCAAAATTGTCTCGTCTATCCATCGATAACAATGTCTTCGAGGGTTCGACGGATCTTCCTCAGGTGTTCCAGGTATATTTTACGATGTTTTCCTTGCACCTCGCCTTATGCCTCTATTGAACTCTCCTCGGTTATTTGGACAAAGCATAGATTCACATACTCACCAGTGGATAACACCTCGCATCTTCTTAGCTCGTTAGTCAATTAAATTATAACGTTGTTATCTTCTTAACGCGAGTTTACGGGTCTTAAAACTCTCGCTTATACCGTTCGTTACGTTACGTTAGAGGTCCAAGGTCTTGGTAAAGGTTTCGTTGTTACCTGAATAGGGCCGCACGTGGGAGACTAAAAGGGGGACCCTTTTCAGGTGAAATATCTGGGCTCTCACGATGCCAGGGGCCTCTGGGGCATCAAGCACACGAGGAGGCCCGTCGATAATATGGTTGCTGCCGCGAAAGCTTTACCGACCAACACCATGCTTCCTCTGACCAAACTGGTCGTCTCTCAAGAAGGCGTTGCCCTGCTGCCTATCGAGAAAAGGAAGCAAGACTCCAACTTTGCCAGGATATACGCCATCGAAACGATCTCGTACGGTGTTCAGGATCTCGTCTACACGCGTGTCTTCTCCATGATCGTTGTACGCGAAACCGAGAATTTCAGGAGAGTTTCGCCGTTCGAATGTCACGCTTTCGTTTGCGAATCGAAACATCACGCGAGGCAGCTCACCTGCGCTTTAGCCACCGCTTTTGACATTTATTCGAGAACCGTGAAGGCGCAGAATCAAATGGCTGAGATGGCAAGCAAGAACGCGAAGAAAAGGTTCGCCATCGATCTTAGAAGTCCCGAGGAGATCGAAGCCGATTTAGCCGTGGATTCTGAGGCTTAAATTAGGTTCTTCTCCCCGATGAAATCTTTACTCTCTCTATTTTGCTGTTGCAAGACTGCTACGGCGAATTGACGAGAACTAGTGTCATGGAGGGGTGTAGGACATCTGCTCGATGGACGACACAGGGTACACGTTGTCGAAAATATTTAATATACGCAGATCGCGTTATATCTATAGATACAGGGTGATTCACGGGAGAAATCGGAAAGAAGGCGATTCTTCGGCGGAAGAATCGATCGGAGACGTAGAATAAAACTTGTTCGTACTTGTGGCGCCTCATTTTCGAGAGTAAAACGTAGAATATCGAAAGAAACGGCTTTTGGTCTATATTTTCGACCCGTTTTAACGCGAGCAAAGATCGTGCGTGCTTTTTGGTTGCTCCACAATTTCGGAATCTTCCTATACAAGTCCATTTAAGAAAAACGTTTATACGTTCTACGAACAAAAGATCAGTGGCCTGATCTTCTTCTAAGAAGAGTCTTAAAGACGCAAACGTTTATATCGTCGTTTATTTTTGGTTTAAAGAGAGCTTGTATCTGTAAGTGAATTATTTAAGTGCTAAGTATTATTTTTTTACTATTGTTATAAGAATTATATTCGCGTAGTCGTATTAGGAGGCCAGTGGCTATCAGGTGTAGATCAGATCAGAGGTGTACATACGTTGATTTCGATTATCTTTCTTTCGACTGAAATGTACTTGAATCAGAGTTCCGATACGCGCTTTAGGTTTCTCCTGACAAATGTGAAAGTGTGTGTGGGCACGAAAGTTGACGTAATTATTGTGGTTAATTATTTTATCGGAATTTATGAACGGAGGAATAGGCACCGCCTATCCACGATATAATGGCTAGTTATCCAAAGATACAAAATAGAAAAAGAGCCGAAGATTTACCGATTCGTTTCGGTGACTTTTGCCATCTCGTATCATATTATCCGAATTTAAAACAAAAAGAGATTGGATTTTTCTCTAGCCGCTTTGCACGTGTGCGTGTGTGTTTTTAGTTTCTTTTATTTTTCTCGTACTTTCGTTAATGTACAGTAACCGCGACGAATACTAATTCTTCTATATTATGTAATTTATTTTCGACTTATTTTAAGCCACGAGAGACCAATATCGAAACATATCAATCGTTGTAAATAAATGTTTAACGGAAATGTCGTCGTTAACGTTCTTTAGCTTCGTAATGATTACGTAATAGTTTCGACGTCTTATTTAGCCGTTAAGTTAATCTTTGCTTTTCGTTGATTATTACCGCACCGTCGTAGTTTGTGTTTCTTTCTAGGCTTGGGACATTTGTGTAACTCCTTTCCGCGCGTGATTGCTTAATTATAAATATGAAAATAGCAGTATTAGTTACATGTACTATATGCAAGCTATATGCAATAAATTTGTTGCAGACGCTTCAACTCCTTTATTTCAATATTTTTCTAATTTTAGGCTTTCACAAATTTACAATATTACTCCAACACGTTCCTGTATAATAAAGTCACACACGATCTCTAGGTAATATTTTAATATCATATTTTTATCATAATTTAAATACATAGTACACATATACTTAAATACTAAATAAAATTGTGTTTCATTCGTATTTCGGACAAGCAAACGTAGTTGGTTGATCTTAATGACAGTTCACGAATTTCGTCTCTTCTACGATACACACAGCCCATTCTTCGCGAACGTTGTCTCAAGAAATCACTGTTTTCGCGACGGCTTCTTCCGGTTCAAGATTCTCGACGTCCTGGTCTCCGGTCTGTTCGAAATCGCTTCCACGTCCGATTCTTTCGTGGCGTGCTCCATGTCGCTTTCCTCTTCCTCCACTTCCTTGCCAATCGCCTCGTTCAGATTGTAAAACTTCTCAGACTCCTCGCAGGGTATCGAATTTTCCGTTTTCGTGCAAACGAACGTCGCCTAACGAGACGAATAATCGGTTTGTTAGGAAGCGAGAGAAAGAGACGAGTCGAATAATCACTCACCTGATTAAACACGGTCTCCGCGGGGCAGATGAAGCTCCATCTGATCGATCCCCTAGCCTGCGGCATGCAAACGTGGAAAACTTGGCAATCGTTATCCATATCGGCGTAATATCCATAAATTCTGTCTTGACAGGAGAAGTTGTCCACGATATTGTCACGAATCAGCGTCGCATTGTCCGGAAGTTCCAAGCCGCCGGTCTTGTTCTGAAATTTAACGCACGTTCGAAGAAAAGATTAAATTTATTATAATACGCACGTTCATTCTCCAACAGCATGGTGTAACGTTTTCTTTTTACAGAACAAACCTTAAACTCTGGAACGGGTCTCCTAGATTTGGGTTGCTGCGGCAAACCCGAAACAATGGCGAAGATGACAGCAAGCGATACGATTAAACAGGTTGGTCGGATCATGATGAATGAAACGTTTCTCGCTTTCTTCTGGATCACTGGATGCAAGTCGTATCGGGCTTTGTCTTGCATGTATCGAGAATCCTGAGAAGACTGGTGATCCGATCCGTAGAAGGGTGTTATATAGTGACTTGCGTGTAAGGATCTTGAATATTGTATGAATGGCCGATTCTCGGTAGGCAGAAATTAGTAAGTTTATCACGTTTGGTCTGCCAATGACCATCCAGACGTCCACATCATCCTCGAAGGCCCGATGCAAATTTCGCCGTTGATGTGCCGAGTGATACGATACCCGTGCAACCACGACGAACCATCGAACCTTGCGGCCACAGTAAAATTCAGAATGATATTCCTGTGTGGAGGAGCAAGCGAGATCGTTCTTCTCGCGAGTGGAGTGCGAGTCGGTCATTGATATGCCCTTTGAAGACGAGAGGGAGAAGCTTTTCCCGTCGAGGGAAGGATATTCTTGCGAAGAGAAACCGGGTGCGGAGAATTCTCTATGAATATCCCGAAGACGTACCCACTCGAAGGACGGATGCAAATGCGGTGGAATGTGAAAATAGCCCCCGCTAAGTGAGATCGAATTTCGTTAGCTGATTAAGAAAAAGTTGGACGTAGCCTGTCCGCGAAGAAATTCTATAAATGAACGGCGGAAGGATATTTCAGCGTCTCTTCTCACGAATTTCGATGATTTCGATGCGACACGGTGGTCTCGTTGGCCGCGGTCCAATCAGAGCTTCGAAAAGAGGTTCTAGACGTCAAAAACCGAGGGCAAGTGGAACCGGGCCTCGTCTTTCGTTAAAGGTCACACCGAGACCAACGATTCTTCGGTACGTGAATACTTAAGTTTCCACGGGGGTCCCACCGGTTACGAAACTCTGTCCGTTCCTGGTCATTGACCATGACAGACACGAGATATCCTGATTCATCCTGGTATATTCGTCTATGCATTTTTTTTTTCGTGTAAACAAGGACACTCTACGCAATATTTGTCACATCGCAGTACCTATCTGGTCTTATTACGTTATCGTTAAAAAAATTATAGACTTGTTCTTATACATTATCTAGAAATATAATTGTCGTAAAGAGCAATATCTTTATCGACTCTTTATCTACCTTGTTAAGCCGTAGATGAGATTATAGATTTTTTTTATAACTTATTTAGAAACACAAACGTTGTTCAAAATAAAATCTAAAGCGATTTCTCGCGTAGCGAACCGATACGTAAAGATTTATCGATCTACCGTGTTAAATTATCGCTAAAAAGATTATTATTATTTTCTCTTTATCGATTGTGTACGAACGTAGCATTGTTACTTCTCCAACCTTTCGTGTAACGCAATTTGCTGACTAACAGAAGGTACATTAATACGAAGTACTTGAAAAAGGAAACGAACCGATCTATCGACGTCTTTCGGTTTCAGCCAAGGGGAAAGATAAAAGAAATACTATGTAGCTGCGGGGAGAAGAAATCTCCCCGGTATTTATCGGTCGATCGAAATCACGGCAAGGTGAACAGCCCGAAAGTATCGGCGCTCGTTGAAAATTCCTGTCGCATGTTCCACGGCGCGATGTCGAGGAATACGTAAGCTGGTCGCTACAGGCTGGTTCACTCTATGGAGAAAGAAGGTCGTAAGTCGATTCGGTAAGCTTTCTCGGTCGTCCTTACATGCTTCTTATTCACCGTCGATAAATCGACGATCTACGATCTACGATTCGCTTCGGTATTATAATGTCGTCTTCGAATTTATGGGCTTCTCGTCCTAGAGTTCTTCGTTCAAGGTAGAAAAGTCGGCAGAATGCGAATTATTATGAAAATAATTTATTGACTGTACGATTCTTACAGATGTCATTTAACGATAAGTTAACATAGTTTGGTTGATATGGGGCGTGAGAATACATGCGACAGCAGGTACGCAAAGTGGACTTTGGTACGCGAATGGATCCTCTATCGAATGCTTTGCGACTTGGGGAAAGGTACACGAACGAGGAGACGCGATAATTTTTCTAAATAATACGCGCATTAGCGGGTCTTAACATTTTTGTTTCGATATAAATAGAAAAATAAATAGTTTGATATAAATATAAGATTAAATATAGATTACGCGACTATGTGTTAATCTCTTAATCAACGGTTTCTTTAGTAATTATTTAGAAACCTGAGCACGGAGAAAATAATCGTAGCGACAGATTTTTCTGTCATCTAGTTCTCTTTTTTTTTTCCTTTTTCATTTTCGTCACTGAGAAGATGGGGTTTGATTTTTCCAGCTCGAGCCTCTATGGATTTTGTGGAGCATAGGAGGAATAAGCGAGATTTTGAGCGGAAGGATCGTTGGAGGATCGTCCCCAGTAACTAGGATCGTGATCATCGTGATCGTAATGGTGTTGATGTTGAGCGTGTTCGTAATAGATGACCTTAGACGGATGAGATTTTTTCAGGTCCATCCAAAACTTGACAACGTTGAGGATCAAGGTGATGATAGCGATGAAGAAGAACTTGAGCTGGAAGTGCGTTGAGATCAATTGAAGTAGGAGACCGAGTTTAGCCTTGAACAGCATGATCAAACCGAGGAGTCTCTGCAACTGCTTCTTTTTTTTCTTTCCATATTTCTTGCCACGTGCTTCCTCTGCAATCAAAGTTCCACGATGGATTTAAACACAAATCACCGAATTTGTTCGAATTGCAGCCGTAAAGAATCGATTATAACGATTATATCGTCAATATCGTCGATAATAGACTACGGACGTAAATTGATTTTTCTTTCTTGAATCTAAGCGAAGAAGCGGAAATGGAAATTACGTGTATTTCGTACATTTTCGCGTATTTAAATTTCATATAAATACGCGAACATTCGCGGTTAATCATTAGCTGTAATTAGGAATTTTCTGAAAAAAGAAGATCTATATCAGCGAAATTTGTATTCAAGTAATTACGAGATCGACTTTTCTAGACCTTTCTCCTTCGCGTGGATACACGATTGACGCGTGAATCGACACAGAAACTATGGAAACAGTTGACTCGTTCTTTACCGCGAACTCACTCTCTTTGTTCGACTCGATGGCCGCGATTCGAACCACCGCGAATCGTTGACGAGGTTAAAAGTATAACAAGGTGCTGGAAACATAGATTTACTTGCTAATTCGCTAACCTCTACTTTCATTCACTTCTCCCTTCTACGCTGAAGCTACGTGTCGACGTTCAACGAGTACGGAAGAAAGAACATTTTGGACAAGTTACGAATATGTAATTGGAGTAACGAATAATTTGGGATGAACGAGTCCAGTGACCTAGATGCTTTCGACTCTTGCGGACTGCGTAATTTTACTCTAATGGCTCAAAAAAAAAAAAAAGAAAAAGAAGAATACGTCACGGTCCTTCAAAGAGAATACGTCATTTTAAAGAAGCAGAACAACGATATCATAGTTCCTTTAATAGCAGGAAGATTGCCTTGATGTCTGTCAAATTGTTCAATTTCGTAGCTACGATTTGCTCGAAAAGACAAGGAAGATAACGAGCGGCGTACCGTTAGAGCAAATTTACCCAAGTCGCATCATTGAACTATGTACATACTGAGAGAAGAAATTGGTGACATATTGGATGTTGAATTTCAAGCGATCGTTGGTGACCTAAAGACACGTATTCGATACGTTTGCCAGAACAAAGCAAAGCTTGTCTTCTAACATCGTCGTGTTAACGAGCTTCTTCTAACGTTAAATATTATTCCGTGTAAATGTAATTAGACTCGTTCGTTTAGTTTGTCGCAAAAGCTAGGAACTCGAAAGTCGGGGTACTCTGCCTACCTGTCCTCCTTCTACTTTCCGCATAATCGTTTCAAAAGCAACCGCGGCTTTTTTCTAAGCTTCGTTCACGAAAGTGAGTCACCCGTGTTGTTCTCCGTTGCAACACCGTTCATCGTCCGAACTCGCGCGTACCCAGTCAAAGGCTCGCCAAGAAGATATACTCGAAACGAACGAAGGAAATCGGTGAACTTTGAAAATCTGCAGATACCCGAAAGGTAATGGAAAGAATCTTAAGGTGAGTTTCGATAAGACAAAGAGGTTCGAGTTAAGTAAGTCGGTAAATGTCAGGCGACTTTTTTTTAACGGTGCTCTCGGCGCAGAGGAAAGTTCACGGTTGATTTCATCATGCGCTCCACGCGCCGATCGACGCTCGATGCGCTTCGTCCGTTTCTTCGTTGATCGATCGAATATATCGTTTACTCGCGATAAATTACTTCACCGCTAAAAACAATACGTCACGATTCTCACCTTGGTCACCGGCATCTGCGGTTTCCGCGACTTCCTCCGATCTTCCGGGATTTTGCACGTCGTCGATGACTTCGGCCACGAAATTGCCGGCCTGCTCGATAACCGCACTCATCGGCGTTTCGCTCTTCTTCCCGGTCACTTGCATCTCGATTTGATCGAGGTTCCTCCCTAGCCTCGTACTCAGACATCCCACGGAATTATCCTCCAACACGCAGGTCAGGAAACTTTCATCCTCCTCCTTGGTACCGATAAGTTCACCCTGGACGCAGAGAACGAGTCCCAGGAGCAAGAAGATGGACACTGTTATCCTCATGGCGAAGATGCGATAAGATAATTTTTTCCAAAGACACTACCACTACGCGATATCACGGCTCATTCGATGTCTGTCTTTCACCCTTCTCCGTTGTTTTCTTTAATTCGAACTCGACCTTCCGCTTTTTATATCCTTGGACCGCGTGTCACGGGCACGAAGTGGTTGTGCAAGGTGCGTGGTCGAACATATATGAGAGTCTAACCCCTTCCTTCTGGACTTCCGCCAATCAAGTTGGTCCTGTTTCAAGTGAAAACCCGACTGGCATCCCCCCACTGCCATGCTTTTCGTGGGCACACATCGTTGAAACCGAGCCGCGATCGCCTCTTCTTAAAGAATTCCGACCACTTCGTGGGGTCGAGACGCTGCCATGAATGGAAAAGAATTTTGGCGGATATTTGTATAAGAAGGAAAACGGATCTCCGACAAGACGCCAGGCTCGTCGAGTTACCGCTTTCGCTTATGAATGGGTTCCTTAATTAATTTGTCTCGCTGTTTTTATCGTTCTACTTCGCTCGACGATTTTCTTTGCTTCGATTTTGCAGAAGTTTGGTGTTCGTCGTCGGATGAATCCTAAGAGTGCGAACGATACGAAAATTCGAAAATTGGGAAACAAAAAAGGGGAATTTAAAGACTGCGAAGTAACGAAACTCGAAAATTCAGAAACTGCGAAATTCGAAGATTCGGTAATCGAAGACGTCGAAAATTGAACGATCGAAGAATCGGAAAATGAACATCTTAAACTTTAAAGTTGGAGAATGTCAAGTTCGTTAACGCGAGAAGCGAAAATTTGAGAATTAGAAGCCCGGGAATCGATTCTATGCAAATCGATGCGCAACTAAGATCCGTTTTCTGTCGGACGGGACGGTGAAAATTAATTTTTAATGGCGCGTTAACCTTTTCCTTGTTGCAGAAAAGCGTAATGGATTTAAGATTGTACGCGTGTAACTTGGCACGCGTGTGAGTCACGTACGTGGACCGATGACAGAAATTCCACTGGAACAGCGTTGGGATGCTAATACAACCTAATTCTAGTCATTTTTATCGTTAAAGAATAAAGAGGCGTGAAAATGTAGTGAAATCGTTGCTTTCGAAACGCCAAGCAATCAAGAAGAATTAAAAACAATTAAGAATAACGAATATTTATCAGGAGTCTGTACCAAATTGCTCTACCCGATTCTTTTCTCCTTCCTACAGCGAATCTCGTTATTTATTCAGGCTAATTAGCATAACCGCTTCGGTCTTCGCTCTTAAAGCTACATAACCAGCGTAACAAAGAAACTGTCACAGCATGTTGCGAATGATTGTCCGGATGAATCACCGTCATCTTGATCCTCTTTTAACGCAAAAGACTTTACGCTTGACGCACAAGCGTTCCGCTCCAATTTGATCGTTTACGGCAAATCCTTCAAGTATGTTAAAAATTCAACGAAATTCGAATACAGACGTTTCAAAATTCCATCGACTCGACTCGCTTTTTCATATTTCATCGATCGATTTTCCCTTTTATTCGTTATAATAATTTCGCGTCGCATAAAGTTTCCCTTAAGCTAGTTCAACAAACAAGTTTTGGTTTCTTTTAAAAATTTATTACGTAAAAATTCGAAAGATAAACAAAATTCGTTGTTCACGCGCAGTACCAAAGGAACGAGTATCCCTTCGGTCGTTGACTTTCGTTCGCCGGCAATTTCGTCGTATTATCGCTGGCAACAAACGAAACGTTCGGTCGATGACCAAATTCGTTCGACAAATACTTCACTCGGGTATCGATACCACTTTTCACTTTCTGCGCGAAAGCTGCCATTTTTTTCTCCGCTTCTATATCCATCTTCTCGATGCTCGCGTGCGTCGTTATCGAGTAATTAAGGCGACAGTAAAGATCGTTCGCCGTCTTCACCAGCATTTGAACATCTATATTCGGCTGTTTGAGGCGTGGATCTACCGTATCTTTCTTCGCGTCTTGAACTAAATTCTTTCCCCTTCTCTCGTTGGAAAAATCCTTCGAGCTTCGAGAGATTTCAATTTTCTCGTGAGAAAGTTCATCTGCGAAGTAATTGAGTAAATAGTAAAATGAGAAGTAAAAATAGTCGAATCGAACGATAGTCATCGGACGTGTAAGAGAAGGATCTTTTACCGTTTCTCTCTTTTCCCATTTCCAACATCCCTCGACATCCCCGTTTGACATCCCTTGTGGCAGGGCATCCAACTTCTCACGAGAAGTAAGTGGCGTTACCGGTCGAATGGTCTGTGTAGTACGTTCAGATTCGTCTGTTTTCACTACGAGTTTGCACGCACTACAAGCCCTTGCTACAGCTTCTACCAGTTTCTTTGCAATTACCGGCCTTGCTTTCGATATTTCTTGCGCATCCTTCACTGAAATCTAACCATTAGGGTTTATTACTTTTCTCCGATATACATATATATTCGAATTATCTTGGTTTATGAATATAATTTGCAGACTTACGACTTTTAATTCTTCTATAAGTCATCCTGGTGATGATAAAATCACCGTTTTTATCTGTGACGTATCCTGTTTCGCGATACACTCCATCCGCAGTTACGAATCCATATTCTTCCGTGATAATTCCATCAGCAGCTTGTGAAATGGACATACATTCGTGGAATATTTATGTCCGAATCACGCTCTCGTTCCGAAAAAAGAAAAACAAAAAGATGTTTAACACGGTTGAAAACGACTCGAAGAACGCAACAGGATTAATTCGCTTCAATTTTTACGTGTTTTACGAACCTTTCTTCTCGTACCTATGTTGAAAATCAACGATGTTGAACCCAAATTCGTACGGTCTGTTTTGCTCGGCCGTTTCGCTTGTCATTGCGAAATTCCAAAGGATAAGAATAAAGAAGAGAAAGTACATAATTCTGGTAACCGTTTTCTAAAACGTTTCGAGCACACTTCGATTTTTTCGCAACGTTAAGGTTAAAGTTGAGAGGAAAATTTGACCAAACAAGCTACGTTTGTTCTAAATACGAACCCGCAACTTTAAGACGTGCTTCGTTACAATTAATCCTACAGAGCTAAAGAAATTCATTGTTTCAAATGAAAACTAACATAACGAAGTCAGAACATGTCGCAGCGAGTATTTTTAGGCAACGAATTACTTTCAAACTGTACGCACTAAACAGCTGTATATACACGAAAGTCAATTCATTTTTACTCTCAGCATCTCAAATATTTTGCGAGAAAGAACGTCTTACGTGGAACAACATCTTGACGTGCTGCAGCAACTTGGCTTGGCGAGCGCGTTAAACGAAGAAGAGCCCCTCGAGACTCGAACGATGATGTAACTAAGCGAGGAAAAGATTTTCTTCGATTTATCGAACAACTTATCGAAGGGGAAGAGGAAATCGTGGAATCCGCATACGCGGAAAGTCTACGGACGCGTAGAAGTGTCCTCGACGCTCGCTTTCGCGCGTTTCGTATGCCTGGATAATTATATGACGACACACGGCTGTAAATCTTCTATCGACGCATCGAAGCTACATCGATTTTCTACGAATGTACAAAGCCGTAAAAGTTGTTGCCAAAGTTTCTTTTTGGACCACGTTTTTGTGGAATTTCGCGAATTTATCGACTATTTTCTAGATTGCACGCGTCACTCCTCTTTTCGAAAAAGTATCTGCACGAGTGGATTTCTATCTCGCGTACGTTTGCTCCGATCTTTAATCGCCTGTGTTACGTATTTCTGTTTCTACCGGTTTACGATTACCTCGTTAGAGATCCAGCAGAGATCAGGCCGGATCCGGGCGTTTAATTTAATTAAACGAAATTAACAAGCGGCGAACGAGACTATACGCCATTAGATGCAATCGAGATCTGGCATAAAGATCGTTAATTCATATAGTTAAAGGCGAGCGACATCGGTATCGGGTAAACGTAAAGCAAACGTAAAGGGAAAAATTCTCTCAAAGATAATTCGACTTTTCTAACGACAAACACGACTCAACCAAATTAGACACGCGATTGTAGGTTTTCTTAAAAAGGCGAATGCTTTCACGTGTCGCGGCGCTGATCTAAGCTCGTACGCATACAGAGATTAATCCGGGTTCCATTCCGATTTGCCACGTATGCGTCGTGCATCGTGCATTTTGTAGTTTAGAAAACGGTATAGGACTACGATTCGTATGGCGAACTGTCGATACGGGATCGATGGCGTTGGCATACTAACTATGCGAACGGAAGGTGGGTTTCTGGCACGTATACGCACCACGAATATCGAGGCCTTGGAGAATAAATTCGACATTGACAATACTTTCGTTACGTGCCCCTAGCATCGATCTATATCCGTCTCTAACGATCGAAGCTCGTCACGAAACGTTATACGCAAACAGTATGCTCGTTTCTTAAAAAGTAGAGCGGTCTTCTGGTGCAATTTTTGCATTCAAGAATCGCCATCGTCGTTACAGTAAACGTGAAGAATTTTCTGAAACGGTAGTTACAGTAATTCGCCAAAGTATCTCGACGATTATATTTGAAACTTTTTATCAATACACTTTGCATTTCATACGGGACATTTACAAATTTCACTCATCACCATTATATCCGTAAAGTTTGAAAGAAATCCGAAGATGTACATAGAACCTACGAAATACGCGGACCAAGTATACCGTATTTCGGAGAAATCACAGAAATATCGAAACGCTTAATTATTCGTTACGCTGATAATTCGTTACATATTTTTTACTAAATAGCTCGTAGTAAATGTCTTTCAACCTCTTTTAGATTTTTAGATTTTTTGATCTTTAGATTTTAGATTTTCTGATTGGTTTCAAATTTCAACGACATAATCGCGATAAGCCGGTCTCGTTGCAGCGTTGATAAAATTTTATCCGATAAAAACGAAAGAAAGCTGCGCTGTAATCCCGAAGACGTCTGGTCATCGGCACGGCATGTTCATCCCCGTTGAAATCGATCGGTATCATTTAAATTTCGATTTCGACGTTGAATTTAACGGCAGAGAAAAGGGAAAACGCTGGTCGGAGCCGATCGCTTCAGAATCTGGACCAAAATGCCGTTACCAGCTCGAAGTAGGTCACGTGGAATATCTCGTTGTTGGTCATTGCGCCGGACGTTCTTTCGAGACCCAAAACTTAATTTTAATTTCATATACGATCCGGTGTCTTTTCGTCGCGTGGAAAATCGCGTATACTCTTGATTTGAACCGTATATTTGAAATATCGCGACTTTTTGTCGCGATCGTTACGTATCACAGATAACGCAATTTGGTTGGAACGGCGATTATCCTGAACGCGATTATTCGCTGAAGTAATCGAAGCTATTCTACTTTAAAGGTGCCGTTTCATTCGTCGTCCCCACCAGTCTTTGTCGTCGTCTTCCAGTTCGTGATAAGTGTGATAATAGTGATCGTGATATTCGGGTTTATGGATCAGTACCACTTCCGATTTCTGCGAATTCCTCAGCGCGTTGTACAACATTATCGCCAATGCGATTTTTCCTATGAAGATGCTTCGAAGCAGATTGATCTTGAGGGAGGCGAGGGTAGCTGGTAACGTTGCCAACTAAAATGCAAATGCGCGTTAGAAGTAGCGGGTTTCCAAATTCATTTATCGGCAATATGTAGACTGCGAATATTTATGCATTTACGGGCAATACAAAAGCGTAAAAATGTACAAAGTGGAAAAGGGGGGTACGATGAAACGAACGGATAAAACATCGATGTTACTCTTCGATAGGAGACGCGAACGAGCTGCAGTCGTACAACACGACACTAAACGCTTGCCCGCAACGCAGTTCGTGATCGATTATCAACCACTGTGCGCGCTATTTTCCGATTTATTCTTCTCTGCTTCCGTGTCTCTACCCGTTGTTCTTTACCTCGCGTTGTAGCGTAAATATCAAATGTTTGTTAAGTTAGTTCACCTGGAGCGAAAGGGGGCACTGGCGTGGGGTAAAACGCAACGCCCACGTACCCCTACTGGGAAGAGCGAAAATGTCTCTTGGTACATATTATTCTTTTTTGCGATCATTATAACGCGGAATAAAATTGTACTTATCGTACCAATTTCCGAGAAAATTCGTACGAAATGTCAGAGATACGTCCACGAGGCTTGTATGACACGATAGTAGCGCATTATACCCCACCATTCCGTTGTTGCATAAAAATTTGCAGGCCAGTAATACGTATAGGGTGTTAATTTAAACCTGCCAGATCAGAGGAACCATCATCATCGTCATTCCAAGTCTTTTTAGGATACCTTTCTTAAGTTTGAATCTTCCTGTATCTCGTTGCTCTACATCGTTCCCTTCAAAAGAAATTGCAACGAATCGCGTGATTCGCGTGGGTGCGTATCGAACACTGATCTTAGAAACGTTTTACTTACTTCCGAACAGCGACGACAGGCTCAGAGTAACGTTCGCTTCGCCATTCGCGATATACAGTGCAATTCCCTGAGAAACGTCAACCCTCAAAGTGTCGTTCAACTCCTTTGCGACATCTTCGGCACGGGCCAAAGTTTGAAAGAGAATTACGATGCACAAGCACGAAAAAATTGCGTCCACTCTATTCATGGCTGCGTCGTGTCGCGTCGTCGCTTAGAAAGTTAATTCTTAAATAGAAATATAACCTATATAAGCTTGCTTTTAACTGCCTTTCTAATTGCCGCTTAATTATTCATTCTTCTTACGTTCGTTGCCTTTCCTTCTATCATTCTTCCGATATCGGTCGTTAAGCGGAACGAGGAATCTTGTTGCGAATCACCGTTTACCGATTTCCGCGTAACAAATAACGTTACGCATTCGTCGCTGCTCCTTTTCTTACTTCCGGTCCCGGGTGCAAGCTGACTCGGCTGTCAGAACGATCTCGATATTTGTCTGATTTTACAATCGCGTGATCAAATTATCTTTCGGGCTGTCGAGCTTTTCGCACGCTTAAAAGATCGACGATCTGTTTTTACGTGTTTGTACTTTTATTCGTTTCATAACCGACGAGTAGAACGCGTGGTGCTCGCATTCGACCGATGATGAGACTGCTAAGGAATCGTAGCAAGCGGAGAGCAGACAGTTTCCTTTTTGCCGTCTGCTTACCCCACTGAAACTAGGAAACTGGGTCTCTGCAGTTCGCTGCCGCGATTCGTGTCATAGAAGGTGTAATATGCACGCGGTTGGTCACGGACGCGTATGAGTTTAGCAGACCTTGAAACGCGGAAAATTCAACTTTGCTTCTAGATCGCTAAAAGTCGAGACTTTCGTTTCTCTTCTCATTCTTATCGAAAAATTGAGGATTTTCAATGTCAGTGGCCGAGCAGCTTAATTTCGAAGTACAAAGAGAAATTTGCTTGCTAAGAAAGAGTTTAATAAATACATTCTACGATGATACATACACTTTGAATAAATAGGAGAAGAGACGCAGTTTCTTTACAAAATAAATTAACGTTATCGCTAGTTTGAGGTAAACGTGAGGTTGTTCCTTAAACGTACGAGTTTACAATTTTGGTTTTGCAGGTTGGTCGATCAGGCGACGCGAGTTACCAGTCTTATCTCAGAATACTTAAACAAAACTTTGGTACACGAGAAGTGAGTTGCGGTTCGCTGTATCGTCGATGCCTGCTCGACAACCGCAACGCGCTTACTCTATTTTCCCAGTACTGGTCGAGGTCGGGACCAGTCGGTCGGCGGGTAACGAACGTAACAGGTCCGATAGCCTAGTTTCGATCGCGGCGATCGAAGAGACAGTGTCCGAGAGAAAGATATCGTCGAAAAATTCGTCATCATCCTCTGTAGTAGTAATGTTCTCCCGCGTTTTCTGGTCCGCTTGCCGACATCCATCCATTGTACGCTTGATTGTGAGCTGTCGGCAGGCTGTTGTGAACGTGCACGTGGATCGGTTGAACAGGCTGCGCATTGTGCTGCCCACCAGACGTAAACTTGGCTATTATCGTGCTGAGTTTTAGCATCAATAGTATGGCACCTGCAATCAAGTCCGTATTCAGATTCTGCTACAACGAAAGAATTACGATGTGCGAATTGTAAGTAGGAAAAACGTTGCTATCGAATTCTAGATGTTTGATGGATTTCGATAAATGGGTCGTCGATGTCTCCTGATTCAGTATGCTTGTAGCGTACACTATCATAGCCGAACCGTTATCCCTACGTACATACGTACAATGACTATAGAGTAATTTTCGCTTACCAATGAGCAATCCCTTCAGCGAGATCAGAGTCAAAACGGTTAGCATTGTCATCATCACTCCCATTTTGTACATCATCGGCATTAACATAAATTGGATTCGCTTCTGGCCAAACGTTCGAGCTTGTCCGCTTGCTTTTCATAAATATTTAATATCCGATTAGTCGTTCGTCGATTGCAATTTAACTATCGTTCGTTTTTCTAAACCATAATATCTCGAAACGTCAACTTTACGCTTACCTCGAATCTTCCTCGTTCCGCCGACGAACAGATCGTCGAGGAATTTTCTCAGCTCCTGTATATCGGGGTCCACGGTCGCGACCTTGGAAATCGGCAGCAGTTTGGTGACTTTGGCGCGTCCAGCTTCGCGCTGGTAACCCGCAGCGACACCAACACTCTGGACGTCCGACAGGATTGCACTTTTTGGAAAAGTAGTGGCGAGCAACGCGCACGCCAGCGTCCAACCAATCGGCCGCATTATCGAACCGGTTACGATCACGTGGTTCTCTTCATCGACACCGGGGCTTCGCTGCAGGCAAAGAATTTCCCTGCCTACGATCGTTACTCGATCTTTGGTCGCGAGATACGAGCAGGAACCACGAATTACAACGTGTTAATCGTGCTCGGACGAGCCGCCGTATGATTCGGACGAACGACCACGACGGCGTTCGCACCACAAAAGAGGATCGGCCTACGTGTGCGCGGTGGATCTGCGCACTACCT